TACAGAATGAAGACTAAGATTGTCTTTAATCAAGAAGATGGTGAAAAAAACAAACATTATATTTCATTTTTACAAGTTTAAAAGGGGGGTAAATAATGAGAATTGATCAAATAAAAACGTTGTAAATGCTTGATTGTAGATATTTAACTAAGATTGTCTTTAATCAAGAAGATGGTGAAAAAACAAACATTATATTTCATTTTTACAAGTTTAAAAGGGGGTAAATAATGAGAATTGATCAAATAAAAACGTTGTAAATGCTTGATTGTAGATATTTAACTAAGATTGTCTTTAATCAAGAAGATGGTGAAAAAACAAACATTATATTTCATCTTAACAAGTTTAAAAGGGGGTAAATAATGAGAATTGATCAAATAAAAACGTTGTAAATGCTTGATTGTAGATATTTAACAACTATTCCTTTTCTATATGTGCATGTTTATATTATTAAACTGATAAATTATATAAGCTCTGAAACATCCAAAGCAGGATGTTTATTTTCACCCTCTTCATATTCTTGGTAAAATGACGATTGCCTGAAAAAGACACACTGGTTTAATCAGTATTATTATTTCGTTCTAGTGCTGCGATCGTCATCAGTTCAAACGTGCGGGTTTATTATAGAGAAAATTCCATATTTAAAACTACTTGTACTAAGGGCACTAAGTTTCACCACAGGCACATTATGAGTTGTGACATTTAATTACAATTATGATAGCCCTTCGAAAACAAGCATTCAATGATCTCTACAGGCTGTGCGACAACTCTCTGTCGAAGTTTGTATGCTCAAGTTACAAACAGCCTGCAAAGATAAAAATGGGTTTAGTCCTATCCAATTTTACATACATTATATTTTCCTATTCTGGGATATCTTAACAAGGACTAGCTGAGAAAATAGTAAGAACCACATATTTGTACATATAACAGCATCTGACACGCTTATTAACAAAAAATAAATTCACAAACAATTTCACAGAAACGTAAATATTTAGTAAACAGAGCTAGCGGATATAATTAGCTTTAGTTTGATCAGAGGGAATGGAAACAAACACTGATAAAAAAGAAGTACAATTTACAATAGTAAGATAAAAAACATACAGGTTTTCCAGACGATGGATCAATGAAATCTGCCCAATATCCTGCCTTTCTTAGAACCTCACAGATATCCTGTGCAGCACTGACAAACTGAAAAAATAAAGTATAATCATGAAAACCATTGCGCAGGTCATAACAAATTGCATGATTTCCAAACTGAAATGTATATCCAACTAATTATTAATGTTTGAAGTTATAATTCTGGTAATTTTAAAAAAGATTGATGGGAAAAAAAAAGCATTTCAATATTTCTCGGTGAGTTGTATATATATATTTTCTTCTTGTAGCTATTGGAAAGTTTATCAGTTTATATATATTATTTTCAATCAATTTAGTTTAAGATGGTTAGAAAGTATTATTTAAAAAACTAAGTTTTAACAAAACTTAAGTACTCGACTTAAACATACTGTGTGCAATGTGTAACGTAAAATCACGCACAATATAGAAATTTCAGCTACTTAGGCAGTCATTTTCTTTAAACGTTAATGGCGTGAGCTGTATAGTTACTGTATCACCTGCGAGGTAAAAGAAATAAGCAGACGGTTCGTGTGTGTTGCTAATAATAGAAAATCAGGTTCTCTGGTCAATAGCGAAACCTATAACTTGTATACTACGAATTACGTGTTGAACTTTGTTGTATGAAATGTGTTTTGTAGTTTTCAATAACTTTAAAAAACCATTAAAATAAATAAATTTGAAGGGTAAAAACTTGTACATATTCTGTTAGTTCCTCTCGCTCAGACTCCACATCTTCGTTCCAAATGCTCATGTCATTCTTGGTTCGTTGGCACATAGTTAACACGGTAAGGTTATCGTGCTGAAGATCACGGCCGGGAAACAGGTCTTGAAAATCTAAAAGAAAATGTTAAACACAACTAATAATCTTATGTCAGATGAAAATGAGTTAAAATGAAACAGTAAGCTTCCAAGATGAAAATAACCAGGTGTAAACAGCAGTAATGTATAGAAGGCATTGAAAGGGCAGCAGCTTACTGACAAAAAAAAAGGCATTTTTCAAGCACTGTAAGGCAAGCCCTTTTTTGTGGTGGGAGTGAGGTGTTAGGGAAGACTATGAGGTTTGGGGGTTGTCTCTGGTACACATATGGTAATAAGCCATAAGAAACAAACAGATCCTGTTTAATTCGTATTCAGTTGGTCTTATAAACATCTAAACTAAACAGTGAATTATTGTATATTAACACATAATAGCATATCAAAATTATTTTATTAAAAAGACCTACGAGTCCCTGTGTACCTGTCATTTTAAAGCTGAAATCATTTTTGAATCTTCTTGCAGAAAACGAAGTGTAAAATCAGGTGCATCTTTTAGTAGTTGTTGACAATTTATGACTCAGAAAAAAAGGGTACTTTTGGAACATGAGGGCAGGATAATAACACACCTTGACAAACTACCACAGATACTCCACTGTAAGTGGATGTCAGCTTTCAAGACCACACATCTTGACAAAGTACCACAGATACTCCACTGTATGTGGATGTCAGCTTCCTGGACCACACATTTTAACAAACTACCACAGATACTCCACTGTATGTGGATGTCAGCTTCCTGGACCACACATTTTAACAAACTACCACAGATACTCCACTGTATGTGGATGTCAGCTTCCAAGACCACACATTTTAACAAAGTACCACAGATACTCCACTGTATGTGGATGTCAGCTTCCAAGACCACACATCTTGACAAAGTACCACAGATACTCCACTGTATGTGGATGTCAGCTTCCTGGACCACACAGTTTAACAAAGTACCACAGATACTCCACTGTATGTGGATGTCAACTTCCAAAACCACACATCCCGACAAACTACCACAAATACTCCACTGTATGTGGATGTCAGCTTCCTGGACCACACAGTTTAACAAACTACCACAGCCCCTCAGCTGTATGTGGATGTCAGCTTCCTAGACCACACATCCCGACAAACTACCACAGATACTCCACTGTATGTGGATGTCAACTTCCAAGACCACACATCCCGATAAACTACCAAGGATCCTCCACTGTAAGTGGACATCAACTTCCTGGACCAGAATTGAGTGCCTCAAGATTACAAAGCTCTGTATTGAGTGACTAAAGTGTGGTCAAAAGTAGTTGTTTGATTCCAGTTTTTCACAAAAACAACCATGATTTTTATGACTAAAAACTTGGGAACTTTGACTTGAGTGTTTATCAAGTTTAAATTTTTGTTTTTGATCTTGCTGATAGCATTATGATATTTGACTAGCTTCATCAAGATAGCTTTTTGAATTGAAAGAGTCTCATTTAAAACTATAACTTTCACTAAATGGATTAACAATTTGCTCTAGACTGATTTGGGTTAAGATTCTGGAGTTTATTGCTGTACTAAACAGACCACTGTTTGTGTTTTCCACTTCTATGCATAAGATTGATAGATACATTCATTAAAATGTTGTGTTCTTTGATTTTATATTGATTAACAAGTCTACCATATGAATATCATCTTTTTCTGAAAGGACTGTACGATATCCTTTCAGCTTCACGTCTACCTGTGGCAGTATTGAACAGCTGAGTGATACAGACTTTGATGTGAACTAAATACTTAGATGTTAAATATTTCACGTGTGGTCCTGCAGTGGAACATCGCCTTAGTAATATATCTAAATCATTCTCATAAAGCACAACTAACTAAATGTTTTCTCACCTTTCTTCATAAGCACTGGGCAGTCCTGGGCTATAAACTCTAACACTTCTCCAGAGGCAGGACTGCTCTCGGGTTTGGAAGAACCCGGAAACTCTTGCTATAAGATAGATGCATCTCAAAAATACAGAATATAATTCCAAAGGCAAAAAAGAAAGAAAAAAATGCCTTCAAAAAATTACATATTAATTTATGAAACAAAAACACCGATAAGTTCAAAATGTTTTGTTGTCTTTCAGAATTTGTAGTTAACACTGGATGGATTTATACAGTTTGATAACAAAGTTAGAAAAAACGACCTTTTCCACACTAGAGGGATTTATACAGTTTGATAACAAAGTTATAAAAAACGACCTTTTCCATACTGGAGGGATTTATACAGTTTGATAACAAAGTTAGAAAAAACGACCCTTACACTCCAGATAATTAAAAAAACATTTATTTTAACCTATGTTTCACCTCTGCCACTTCTTTAGGGCTAGTACATAAATTTAATTTTATGAATATTGTAATATAAAACAGTTTTATGTACTAGCCCTGAAGAAGCCACAAAGTTGAAACATCAGTTAATATAAAAGTTTAAAATGTTGACCATCACATGACAATAACGTGAGAGTAAAAGGCAGCAGTAAAGGTAAGAAATGTAAAGTAACTTCCGAAACCATAGAAACATTTCTATTATATTTGAGTTAACCACATTCAAGAAAGTTCGATTATGTAAAATAAGTGTTTAATAAATAACAGACACGATATCGTACATTCAAGTTTCGTTAAATGGTACATTAATTGCCTTTCTATTGTATAGCACGAAGTAACAAGTCTTAAATATATAATAATGAGTAGTCTTAGCTATAGTTCACTTGATCCAATAATTTTTTACCTCATGTGAGTAATAGTAATGTATAGTGTCAACTAATATCTTAATTTTTTTCTAGATTGAACCTGTAACCACCATACAACCATGAAACTAAACATCCTATAATTCAGAAAGTACTAAGTGTATCCCCATGAAATTTGACAAGTTTTAGTAAACATTAAAATCCTGATGCACACACAAAAAATCAGATTCTTAATTAAGTATTTTGACTAACAATTTGTCCATGAAAGGTTATTTTCACGTTAAGAATATAATATATATTTTGATCTTACAGTTTTAAAATTTCATTTGGGTTTTGCAAATTTACTGATATCTCGGTAAAGTCCAGATAAAACAAACCTCATCAGCTTGCAGGTTAAAGTACTGTAATAAAACATTACGGTAACAATCTCAGTAAAGTCCAGATTAAACAAACCTCATCAGCTTGCAGGTTAAAGAACTGTAATAAAACATTACGGTAACAATCTCAGTAAAGTCATGATTAAACAAACCTCATCAGCTACAGGTTAAAGAACTGTAATAAAACATTACGGTAACGATCTCAGTAAAGTCAAGATTAAACAATCCTCATCAGCTTGCTGGTTAAAGTACTGTAATAAAACATTACGGTAACGATCTCAGTAAAGTCCAGATTAAACAAACCTCATCAGCTCGCAGGTTAAAGTAGTGTAATAAAACATTATTGTAACAATCTCAGTAAAGTCAAGATTAAACAAACCTCATCAGCTCGCTGGTTAAAGAACTGTAACAACACGTTACGGTAACGATCTTAGTAAAGTCATGATCAAACAAACCTCATCAGCTTGATGGTTAAAGTACTGTAATAAAACATTACGGTAACAATCTCGGTAAAGTCCAGATTAAACAAACCTCATCAGCTTGCAGGTTAAAATAGTTTAATAAAACATTACGGTAACAATCTCAGTAAAGTCATGATTAAACAAACCTCATCAGCTTGCAGGTTAAAGAACTGTAATAAAACATTACGGTAACGATCTCGGTAAAGTCAAGATTAAACAAACCTCATCAGCTACAGGTTAAAGAACTGTAATAAAACATTACGGTAACAATCTCAGTAAAGTCAAGATTAAACAAACCTCATCAGCTGGCAGGCTAAAGAACTGTAACAAAACATTACGGTAACGATCTCAGTAAAGTCATGATTAAACAAACCTCATCAGCTCGTAGGTTAAAGAACTGTAATAAAACATTACGGTAACGATCCTCAGGTAGTTCTCTGGTAAGAACATCAACTTTAAAAGGTTCAGTTTTAGTCGTTGCTTGGGTTTCATGCTGAATTGAAAAATAAAATTGATCATCACAATGCATCAAGTAATAAAGGGGTTGAAATAGTTCCTTAAAGTCATAAAAAAGCATTCATCTGCACCTAACTTAATAAAAATCTTAAAGACAAAATAATCTAATTCACCTAAACAATGTTAACATTAAATAACTACGTAAGTTCGTCATAACCAAAACTTATATAGTACATGATCTCAAAGAAATGTATTTATAATTTTTACCTCAAAATGGCCAAATTAAAAAAAACTACAAAACAATTGCACTGGGTAGAGATCAGAAGTATGAAGGGTCACAGAATTTCTTATAAAAACAGATGTTTCAACACTTTAACTAGGTATTACTATTAACTTTAGTTGAGCAAATGAAAAAAAAAGCTGGTATTATAAAAAGACAAGAAAACATTGTACAGTAGTAGCTGGGCAACATTCTTCCAGGTTCAGTTAGTTTTGTGCTAAGATCTGAAAGTTAGTATATTATTGAACTTCAATAACGAGATTCAGAAAGTACTGGAGTTCCACTTTTCTATTAAAATCTTATACTGATATAAGTAAAACTGTAAATAAACAGATTTGTTTCTTTTTTTGTTCATAGGTTTCAGTTTATCTTTTAGTAACAAAAAATTTTAAGACTGTCCACAGAAGATATGAAATAGATATATCAATGGAAAACAGAAAATATGAATATATATAAAAAACATATTTATTATATGATGTTACTACATTCATCTTTTCCAAACAAAAACTTTTGTGATTTTAAATTGGCATAAAAATTATTTTGGGGGCTATATCTAAGACAACTAGTGAAGCTCCACCAAGTAGAAAAAAACACAAGAGCTTAGTGTGTCGTATACAAAAATAAAAAATGGGGGATGGGACTATATCTACTAGCTAAACTCCAAGTTTTATATATAAAAGTAATGAAAAGTTAATTCATTAAGAAAAACTTCCCACAAGCTGGCTTGATTACTTACTATCAGAAATGATTTTACATGGTAAAAATATTTATTATCAGAAGATTAAGAACATGACAACCAGATAAGAACACTTACAACTCGGCTGTAGAAGTTTTGTGGTGCAACGCCAACATTACCAGGAAGGGGTGTACGGAAATCTACGGGCCCCATCAGAGAGATCTCTCGGCCAGGTAACTGTTTTTCTATTTATATATACAGCATGAAAACTAAGGTTAATTATGAATAAACATTTCTTTGTGTCACTTACCATTTAGCTAAAATGTGACTAAATAAAACTATATTAAGAACACTGCAAGTTGGTTTAGTCAATAAGATTATAAAAACATTCAATTTAAAGTATCCAGCCTCTATTAATTTGCTTTCTAATTAAAACAGCATCTGTGAGCAGCTTGTCAAAAAAGAAAGTTATATAGCCTGACAGTTACATACAGCTGGCATATCGTAGTTGTTTTAATAATTTTCAGTATTATTTATTGTATATACATCTTCATATATATATATTATTTCTTCTGCAAGTTTTGATTGCTCACTGTTACAGCTAATTAACAGTTCTAGCTTCCATAACTTCAGTTAATTAACAGTTCTAGCTTCCATAACTTCAGTTAATTAACGGTTCTAGCTGCCATAACTTCAGTTAATTAACAGTTCTAGCTGCCATAACTTCAGTTAATTAACAGTTCTAGCTGCCATAACTTCAGTTAATTAACAGTTCTAGCTGCCATAACTTCAGTTAATTAACAGTTCTAGCTGCCATAACTTCAGTTAATTAACAGTTCCAGCTGCCATAACTTCAGTTAACAGTTCTGGCTGCCATAAACTTCAGTTAATTAACAGTTCTAGCTGCCATAACTTCAGTTAATTAACAGTTCTAGCTGCCATAACTTCAGTTAATTAACAGTTCTAGCTGCCATA